GGCAGTTGAAGCAAGAAAGCATTGCCCAATTTCACCACCTCTAGGGCACTGTGGGAAGTAGAAAAGCTACGCAAATGTTAAAGAGGCGAGGAACACATTTCTTTGCCTTAGTGCTTGACCTCAGCATTGCGACAACTTGAAGGCACTTTCAAGTTCCTCACTAAGGCTCCTGGGCAAAGTCTTTCTGGAAGAGAGCTTGTTTAGTCAAGAAGAGGGAGCCCCAGCATCGCACCACAGCCACGGGTGCCGATCCGCTCTCCTTGTCGTCTGCCTCTCGCACGGGCAATTGTGAATTTCTCCAGCAGCAAAGAGATAAATGGAAGGAGGCAGCGCTTCCCAAAGGCGCCAAAATGGCAGCTGGGCAACCATTGCAGCCATGGTAACAAATGGGGATCCGCCTCTGGCCACACAACGCGCACGGCCTCAGGTAGCGGCTCTGACCAGGACCCTGAACTGATCAAGGAAGTAGCTGCTGGGAAGACCTAGTTATTAGCACTTACCGCAGCCTGCTGTAAAGAGGCTTTCCCCGGAAATCGGCTGCAAGTCAAGCAAGCGGCCGAGCAGGAGACTTCCCTCCCTCCCCGGACGCACCTTGAGTAAATCCAGAGGGTGAGTGCAGCACGCAGCCCCGCAAGAATGGTACTTCGGGGGCAAGAGGCCCCCGAAGTACCAGCGGGACACGCGTTTCTCCGCCATCCTGCCGGCAATACGTGCGTTCGCTGATCCCTCCCCTCCGCCTTTGGGATCCGGCAGCCCAGCCTCCGCTCCACACCCGACCGAGACGGCCTTAAACGTGCAATGCTGACAGCGACGGAGAAGGAATGCTTAAAAGAGCAAACGTGAGGCCAAAGGTGCGCAGCTGCAGTAGGGGCCAGATGTTTCCTGGGGTTATATTGGTTCCTGGCCGGGCTTCTCTTTCGTGGAGGGAGTCACACTTCTGGGATTATTGTCATTAAAGTCTAAGAAGGCAACTCCGAAAACGTTTTGACCGAACCGCAAAACTCATTTTGCTCATGCACATTTGTAAGACTGCCGCCTAAAACTATTTTGTGACGTTATTGGATATAGATTAAGCCGGTGTCGACTTTTATTGATTGCATAGATTTTCCCCCCCCCCAAAAAAAGCTACCATATATATTCCGGCATATAAGACGACTGGGCGTATAAGACGACCCCTGACTTTTGAGAAGATTTTCAGGGTTTAGAAAGTCGTCTTATACGCCGGAAAATACGGTATTTTTTCTGACATCATAAACTAAATAGGATATTATCTATAATAAATGGAATGGATGGAAACCAATATATGAGGAAGCGCAGTGTGGGA